ATTGGAAAGATGGTCGAGGACATGGAGCTCAAGATGCGCAATCTGCTGCAGGAGGTGTACTTTGGAAAGGCAAAGGACGTTGTGGGTGACCTGAGGAGCATCCCATCACTCAGCCAGACCAACCGGGACCGCGCGACACAGAGGGAGATGATCAACAGCATGGGTCGGTAGGAGTAATGGTGTGCGTATGAGGATGCATAGTGTGGCATAGATGATATCAATCGATTCTGGCTCCAGCGGTATACCCACGAGGACTGGACTATCTCAAACACCAAACGGGCTGTTGCATGTGATGAATTGCAGGCAGTGACGGGACCCCACAGAACTACGTGTGAGAGGGTAGGGAGTCGCAGTAAGTGACATGCTATCATGCCGGTCATAGACTGACTGCAAGCAAACTCCGTAGATCTTGTGCTTGAGATATGCACGGTAGTCCCTTCCTCGATCCCTACGGAGAGGCAATGCATAGTCTGACAAAGCGACAAACGCTCGAAGCGTCCGAGACAAAACATTCTACAAAAGGCTAGTTACTTCCTAACAAACACAGCAGCGACTATATGAACACGTACATCCCCAGACACATCAGCCACCAATCTCAAGACAAGACAAGACTCAATTAAAGCTCTTCACCCTAGCAAGTCCACTGCCCCAGATGACTAGCCCACCCGCAAACCGTAAGCGCTCACGGAATCTATCGACCAGTTCCGCATCATTACCGTCAGCAAAGCTAGCCGATCCGCCATCTGATCGTGATCGAACGTCTGCGATGGACCATGCAGCCGAATCTCCACGCGCAGTTCAAGAGGACACAGATGCAGACGACATGAGTGGAGAAAACAAAGTCTCGGCGGAAAGCACTCTGGAGCGTGAAGAGGCAGAGACACTTGAAGAGTACAAGGACACAATGCCGAACCTCCACGAGATCAAACAGGACCCCGAATCAGTCGTACCCGGTGCTACCACAGTTTCGCAGACAGCGCCTGTCACAACACCCGATCGTCGGGCGATAGCTCGGAAGGTGTTCAATCAAAAGGTGGACGAGCTTGCAGCTGACCTCATTACCTCTTCGAAACAAATCATTGAAAAGGCCATTGATAAGGTTGTTCAACTAGGGGAGGAATATCGCCAGCCTCTTATAACGATAGCGAGGATAGCTGCTAGAGATGAAGGCCGCAAGGAAGGCTATGAACGAGGTTATGCGGCAGGCTTAGAAGAAGGCAAGAAGTTGGGCTATGAGCAAGGCAAGAACGGTAGCGATGAGGAAGGCAAGAAGAATGGCGACAAGCTTGAGAAGGCCGACTCAGAACTTTCGTCCAAAGCCATGTAGAAGCGAAGCCATAGCTTGTGCCAGTCGAAAAAGGTCATGGGTGGTTAGACATGTAGTAGGTAAACCAATGGAATCAATGCGCTGCGCCAATTCAATAGAATCTGTAGTTGCCTGTCCTGCTGGGGCGGTGCGGTTCGGGCCTAGCGCGGCTTCCGTTTCGTGTCGCACCCGTGGACGCGACGCGACCTCTTTCCCTCTCCCTTCGTCCTTGCCTTATTCTCATGGCGTCCACCCACCAACAACTGCCTGACGTGACCTTCAAATCATTGCCATTCATCACCCTACACCAACAACGCAGTGAGATCCTATACTGCATATCAAGCGCCCCGAACCGTGCCGCCCGCCGCTTACGCGTTCGTCCCAACAGGACGCCCTTTATCGACAAGCTGGTTACTACCAGAATCTTTCATCATTGCGAAACCAAAATGTCTCATCGTCAAGTACACTTACCGGATATAAATCTCAGGGTCGACTGCTAAAAGCTTGCCGTAGCTCCGAGATTCGCCAATCTCCGGCTATGGACGTGACGCAGATCTTCCGCCCGCAGTGTCACCACCAACTCGTTCGGTATATTACAGCTATTATAGTTACAATATGCAGTTATCTCGAATACGGTTGACATGTTGTTCCACTTGCAACTGAGGTCCTACCAGCCTTGCATCAGGCATACCATCACACCTTCCGCACGGGTGCACCATTGGCAGCTGTGGCAATAGCTTCGCTGATCGTGCCAGAGCTCAGCAGTCCGCTCCATGATTCGATCGTTGACCATTTCCATCCGGCCCCCGGGTCAAGCCTTTTAGCTTCGGGGGGGCTGGAAGTGGACGGGGTTTCATCTAGATGCCCCCAATCTCACGTCTCGTGATCCCGTAAAGGAGCTCAATCTACATTCGAGTAGAACCGCGGCTGATCTTCGACCGTCGAAAGTTCTTGTACAGGACACACATAGAAGAGTCCGGTGGTGAGGCTCAACTAGATTGACTGCATGAAATGTCGACGTTCACTAATAATGAGGGCATTATTGAGCTCAGCTGACTTAGAGAAGTGTGAAGGTATGGTTCATGACCGGAGTCACCGAGGTGTACGCGTTACTTCAAAATCGGCTTGCAGTGTGGCACAGCATTCAAACTTTCAGGAAAGCAGACTGGACGGAAGATGCATGGGTGAGTATTCACATCTTACACAGAACCCGTACCAGGGCATCTGGATTGTCCTTCCCACGAGATCCCATGTCAGAGTACGGCACGGTACTGGAACGCTTGCGCCAATTCACTGTCATCCCCGTATATACAAGGCCTTTGTTAAGGGAATGTACCCGGTCAGCAGTAGAGTGGCGTTCACGTTCCCTTCGATTCGGCAACAATAGCTCTTCCAGTGCGCCAGATAATACATGAGTGGAAGTTATTCTGGGCACTGCATATCTGATGATGAAGACAGCCTCAAACTACGGTTTATGGCCCCCCACCAATGCGCCTGCACACCACCTGGCTACAATCGGGTTGGACTGATGTTGGAACGCTTTGGTTGGGTGACGTTGAAATACAAAAGAGATATCAATGAAGGTCGAGCTGGAAAACGCATTCTTACAGCTCAGTCTTCGTCTAGTGTATGGAGAACTGCAAGATGGCGAGATTCTCCATTGCTTTGCTCCTACTCGGAACCCTACGCTGCTGTTTGGCATCGCCTCACCAGCATTTCGCCCGAGGCACTACCGCTCTGATACCAAGCGCAACTTCAGCATCGCCGGATTCAACCCCACGTCCATCTCCGGCAATCGATCAAAAGCAGCACTCCAAGCATGTCAACGACTTCTATAGACTCTACGGCTGGCTTAAGCCTGGAGCGTCCGTATCAGACAGCGAGCTTCCGAGAGCCATACGAAAGATACAAAAGAAGCTCAAAGAGCCTGTCACTGGGACTTTCAGCGATAAGATGATGGAGATGATGAGCGGGCCGCGTTGTGGCACGGAACAACCGTACAATGCGACAGATGCAGAGGACGCCTCGGACGTTGAGCGACGATACGTACTCTGGGGCCCGAAGTGGGCGAAGACGACGTTGACATGGCGCTTCGACAGTTACACGAATGATCTGTCTACAGCGCGCCAGCAAAGCACGATCAGGTAAGTTAAGCTTTTACATCTCGGTTGTGTGGTATTTTTAGGCTATGGTGTGGACCTTCTTCAGGTCAATCTCTACTATTTCGTCTTCCAGTCCAATAATCCTGGTTGCTAATGCTGCACAGTACCGCTTTTGCCCAATGGATGAACTACATACCCCTCAATATCGTACAAGCAGCCTCGAACGCTAGAGCTGACATCAACATCCGCTTTTCTCCCCTTGGTCGAGACGATACGCGTTACGGTTTTACGTCCATGGTCTCTGATGGCACCTCCATGTCGTCTGGCAACATCAATGTAACCTTCAATGACGATTACCAGTGGACAGATGACCGCCTTTTCGGGTATACAGCTGTTCATGAGATCGGTCACGCTCTCGGGATGAGCCACAGTGGCGTCGAGGCGGCCATCATGTTCGCCTACTACGATGGTAGCATACGCCCTATGCATCCTGACGACAAGATGGGTATACACAGCATCTACGGCTGGAAGAGCCCGACTTGGAATCGTATCGATTCAGGCTCAGCAATCACAAACATGATACAAGTCACATCCAACACGGCTACCACTTCGGCCAATGACGGTCTCTACCAAATGCGTTCATCGGGGCAGATTCTTCGCTACTCAAATGGTGCATGGGTGGTTGTCGACAACAACAAGGACACTGCTCAGATCACCGGTGCAAATGGCAACCTCTACCAACGACACTACGATGGAGGTACCTTCCGCTGGACAGGCAGCGCATCGAACTGGCAAGCTCTGAGTAACACCGACTCAAACGTCATCGAGATCGTCGCAGCATCCGACCAACTGTACTCGCGGCGCAAAGATGGATGGGTAGCCCGGCTCTCTGGCAGTACATGGCTTAGTATCGAGCAACCTTCCGCCCCTGGCTCCAAACGGATAGCCGTCACCGACGACAAAACACTTTGGAACTTGCTCACGAACGGGTATCTTGTTCGCTCCCTATGGCCTCACAATTCAGGCCAATGGGCCATCGTTGACGACAACGCGAAGAACATCGCCATCGTTGTTGGCGGCAACGAATTCTACAAACTGCAAAGCGACGGTTTAGTAGTGTGGTTGAACACAGCAGGTCCCAGTTGGAAGACTATCGAAAAAGCTGGGAGTGTGGGTATATACGCTGTGGGGGGCTTGTTGTATAGTAGACACGGTGATGGAAGTTTATGGAGATATACTGGGACGCCGGAAGTGTGGGAGATGATAGACAATAGGAGTGGCATGGCTGTCAGTGTTGTGGGTGATCGGGCGGGAGGGGTTTGGGGGCTGTCGAGTGCTAGTGAGATTTGGACGTTGGTATCTTAGTCCGCAAATAATAGCACCATGTTACGAGGTTTAAGTGTAGGATACAATGTCTCTTCTTAACTGCGATAGAGGAGTAGATAACGGCGGCAGATGGTGCGATGTCAATGCAAAAGGACTATGGGCAAACGGTCATAATGAAATATTATAGCGCTTACTGACCAGATCATCTCTCGTATCCCATTGATTTGTTGTTGTCGTCCATGGGCTTCACCACGGCTAATGAACGATCAGACAAATAGACCAGCCTCTACAGGCGCAAACTTGACCTGATCGGCCTGTATCTCCTCCAACAACCCATTGCCTGGATACTCATCCAAATCCAAATCAACATACCCCCTCTCCGCCCATTTCCTCGCAGAAACAAAGAGCGATCGCCCGTTGACACTCGCATCACTCAGAATCCTCAACAAACACTGCCCCGCATCTTCCATCGTAGCGAACTGCACCCCCGCCTTCTCCACGGCATCAAAATCGTCGTGCGACAGGATGCCCGTGCGCACGTACCACGGCGAAATCATGTTGATGCGAGACCCGTAGTAGTACGCTGTCCTACGCAGCGAATGCATGATGCCGCGCATCGCATACTTTGACGCGCTATACTGGGGCCCTCGCGGACAGTCTAGGTAAGCAGCTCCAGAGCCGATGAGGACGAGACAGGTGTCTGTTTGGGAGGGGGATGGGGAAGTGCCGTTTTGGGTCATGAAGTAGTGGGATGCGAGTTTGGTGGTGTAGAGGGCGCCGTTGAGGTTTACGGAGATGATGTCGAGGTTGGGCTTTTGGGGGGCTTGGGAGGGACCGTCGAATGTGAACACGTCGTCTGCGTGTATAATGCCGGCGTTGGCGACTACGTAGTCGATTTTGCCGGTGGTAGATAGGGAGGTGGCCTCGCTGAAGAGGCGGACTTGGTCGTCCCAGTTTGTTACGTCGCAGTGTACGAAGCGACAGTCTTTCAGTTCAGAGGCAAGCTGTTGTCCGCGGTGGACATCGCGGTCACCGAAACACACCTTTAAGCCTGCGTTGACCAGTGCTCGGACGTATGCTTCCCCAAGACCACTGCCGCCTGCCAATGAGGTTAGCTGGCTTTTCAACGAACGTACCAGTTACTATTGCAGCGACTGTGGTATTTGGAATAAGGGATTAAAATACCTCCAGTGACTACAGCAGTCTTTCCTGATAAATGGCTGACGTCGAAGTCAATCGTGCAATCGACAGGTCTCGTAGGGGTGGAGCCAGGCATGGTGATCAGCAGTTCGACAGATGTTGATGAGAGTGACAGAGTGACTAGATGATAGATCGATGGCCGACTGACATCCTTTTATGGTCCTGATTCCATTCTTCGGCGCCAACCACTGTAAATATATCTCACCCAAATGGGGTCAAATGCCCACCTAGGTAGGCAAGAGCCATGGAATTAAGGATCGGTTATGTGCACGCAGCTGACAGACACCAGTGCAAGCAGGCTTTGACCGCTACTCGATCTCATAGTTCGGAGTTAGTTGACCATGCATTTGAGTTCGGATGTGAGGTGACCAAATGAATGAGGTAGAGATGGTACCTGGGTGGCGATGGGACAAGACGCTAATGCAGCCTGCTGACACGCTAGGTAAACACCGAATACATACAGCCCGATCGCTCTTGAAGCCTTGTCGTCATAGTATAGTGGTCTTGATATGCTTCTCCGTGCGATTAAAGCAAGAGAGATAATTCATTGTTGGCTGATAGCGCTGTGTGGCACACAAAAGCGCACCCTGGACAGGGCCGAAGATGCCCGATCCCCGCGTGGCTAGCGCCTCTGACTGTATGTAACCTGTGCATCAATGCGCGTAGTTCCTACCCTTCCTCAACTTCATATCTTCAGTAATTAACGCAGTTTCCAAGAACAGACGTTCTACTCAACATCTCCGAAATCGTGTGTGCAAGACGCTGCCGTTCCCATTGCCGAGGTCTAGCCCCACATCTCCCCACACTATGTCAGCGGTCTGGGGTGCTACGCGGGGAGGCTGGCGAGCGCGGGTGCATGATGATATGTAGTTCGGGTGCCATTTTGTATCCTCATCAAGAGTCTTGGAAGGTAACGCGTAGGTGAAACGAACAATGTCGATCGATGAGAATACCCTCCAGCACCCCACACTACAGCGGACCTTACGCGGTACATCAACAACATCAACAACTCAGTTTCGCAATCTCAAATACGCATCGATACCGGCACGATACAAGGATTCGGTTCCAGACGACAGGCTTGAAGTTGGCGAGGACGGAGTTTTTGACGCTACGCAATTCGGTCCTTCATGTCCACAGTTACGTGGAGCTCAGGCATGGGACCTGACTTTAGTCGGAGATGCCGTCTTGCCTTGCAGCCCTGGTCAGGGCGATACAGAGAGAATGGATGAGTTCGACTGCCTGAACGTAATCGTCACGGTGCCCAAGGATATCCCGAGCGATGCAAAGAGTGGAGGACGAGGTCTTCCAGTGTTCGTATGGGTACATGGTGGTGGTCTCAGCATCGGAGCAAACAGTTGGCCACAGTATGATCTACTTCGATTTGTCCAGCGAGGTGTAGAAACCGGTAAACCCTTCATTGGTGTTTCAATGGCATACCGAGTAAACGTATTTGGTTTCCTGGCCAGCGATGAGATTGGTGCGGCCGGTAACATGGGCTATAAAGATCAGGTGCTAGCTTTCCGATGGGTCAAGAAGCATATTGCGGGTTTTGGAGGCAATCCGAACAACATCACTACTGCAGGCGAGTCGGCAGGAGCGATTTCGCTATCAACGCTCCTCTGCGCGAACGTCGGGGACGAGGGACTCTTTGAGCGTGTTGTCATTATGAGTGGTGAGGCATCTTTACGCAAGTGGAGGAATAAATGGTGGCATCAGAAGATGTGCGAAGATCAGTCTACCTTTCTGAAGATCGACAGCAACGATGTCGAGAGCAGGAGAAGGATCTTATTGGACACCGATGCGGAAGAGTTAGCTCAGAGATTACCTTTAGCACAGCATTTCGCCGCAACAGTCGATGGCCAATTCTTCACACAAGAAGTCACGATCGAGTCGATAATGGATGGGTCAAGCGCCATACACAAGCCATCATGGTGCAGGGAGTTTGTGATAGGCGACACGGAGCACGATGCCCTCATTCTGAAAGGCCGACTCCTCGACCAGCCCAACAGTTTCGGGCGTCTTCTTAAAGCGTGCGAAACGCACCTTTCTCCACTCGAGACCCTCGGGCTCCTACAGGTCTATCGTCTCGATGGCAACGTATCAAAGGAAGTTCAGGGAGAGCGCTTGCTAGTACTCGCATCTGAACTCCGCTTCTATTTACCAGCGCTAGCAGCGTATCGGGGGTGGAAAGCTCTCTCACCATCAAGACCAGCCTCACGATACCACTTCCACGTCCCCAATCCAATAGATGGGCCTTTCAAGGGCCTCGCAGCCCACGAGCTCGATGTTGCGTATCTCTTGCAGAATTTCGACCCTTACTTCAGTGATGGCGACAGGAGGATAGCACGAGCTATACAAGATCAGTTCATCCGATATATCCACGGCGAAGGGTGGGTTGAGGATGGCAAGATGTTGGTGTTTCACAAAGACGGTACGACGGTGGTCGACGATGAGAGGTATGATGAAATGTATCGAAAGAGAAGAGGAAGTCTACTGGAGAAGATTGGAATGGAAAAGTTGTGGCGTGTTGCCGAGATGTGGCAGGGTGTGCGACAGGAAGAAGAAGAATACGCAACTTTCTCGGGCGACTCGAAGCTATGAGGGATATGTATATCATCACTTCTAGGTAATTTGTGGATCCAGCGGATCACCGTGATGTCTAATTATCCGAGAGACTTCCAAGTAACGGAGGAGATCACGGAGAGGGTGAAGAAGGTAGTGACCGAGATCTTTGGGCAAGGAATGGAAGTTGCGGTGGTGAACTCGACGACGATGTTCGAGAAAAAGGCGAAGGCGATGGATGCTTAGTAGAACCTAGGCGCAAATATTAAGGTCAATGATAACCCAATCGAGACTCAGCAATTTGACCTATTCACTCGGATGGTGCATGGCAACGTGACCTTGCCTGTTTGGGACTAGCCTTCCACTGTTTGTAAGTCACAACTCAACCCTCGAAATCTGCGTTGTTTCGCACAGAGGATCCCACATCCGAGTCAAATCATCCCATGACTGTATCGCTACTCCCTCCGTTGTCACCCACCACTAATCACCGCCCTTCATTCGCAATGTCAAGCCCAGAAGAAGTCCCCTTCTACTCAGCCGCGAGTTGGCGGAGACGAACAAACATATATAACGTAAACACTCAATTCACGATCCACAATCCACAACCCACAACCCACAACCATGACGTCCGTTCCAACTGATCTAACCCCCAACCCCCAGCAGCCCACCCTCTTCGGCGACGGCCTCCCAACCAAGCGACCCAAAGCCACCTCCCCACCCTGGGCACCATGGATCGATCCCGGCCGCGAAGTCCTCTCCGAGGCCGAATCCCGATGGTCGCTCTACCTGTACTACGAGTTCGACCGAAAGACACTGTTCTTCGAACAGGTGCCTGTTCCAGACAACAGCGCCGTCGCACTAGACGCGTCGCAATGGCCGTGGCCAGCCAAGTTCTTCGACGAAACGGCCAACCAGATCACTGAGCGGAACGCAAAGGAATCGGCGTTTCTTCGTCTGCCGAAAGAGCTGAGGTGGGTGATATATCAGTATGTCATCGCGGATAGTGATGGGACAGTTGGCAATATTACTAGTGCTGGAATCGTTTCACATGCGAGGGCAAGGTTTCCGTTGCTGCGAGTTTGTCGACAGGTGTATGCTGAGAGGGGGTTTATCCCCACGTCTTGAAGGCATGTCCAGTCTTATCAATGTGGAGTTGCCGCATACCGAGGTGGATTGGAGCTGGAAGTTTCGGTATACCTACGCGTGGCGGATACTGAGGTGGTCTCTAAGGCTACTAGCTGGCGCAGGATTGTAACGCGCTCCAAAGGTAGAGGTTGTCTGGCTCACTGCTCGTAAGACAAGGCAGTGAGAGCTCTTCTAAACCTCTCAAGGACGCAGAGCTGTTGTAATGTTTCGTTGTCATCAGGTAGACTTGTTGTGCATAGCCAGAGATGAATGAACGAAGCTCAAGGGAAGGTGAACATGTCTAGAGTATGAGTATATTATAGCATCGGGATGCGTACATCCCCAGAAGACTACAAGTTTTGTCCATGTACACCGGTTTCCCGTCCCCTTCCCCATCAACCCAGTTCTCCTGGTGCGTGAACTAGCACACACCCACCGTCTTTCCTTCTGCCACTACCGCCGCCCTGATTACGATTTCAATCCCATTGAAGAAGTACACATTACAGCTCCGCATCTCTCCAACGCCCCCTTCACGCTCGCTAAGACATAAAGAAAAGAAAAGCGTTCGTTCGTGAACTCTTCCATGGAAGTATTCAAAGGAAACACCAATGCAAGAGGAAGTGTAGAAGAAAGAAAAAGCAATGGAAATAATGGTGGGCTGCGCTAGCCGCGTGGTATCAAATCAATCCTGGTCCAACTTTAAATATATCAATCAGCCCACTAGGCTTTCGTCCTCGTCTTGATGAAATCGGAAATACGAAACATGGCCGGTAACAAGTCCGCCATGGAATAGTCCTGGCTGTCGCGTGTTTCATTCGATTGTACAGTTTCTCCAACTGGTGTCGAGGCGGCTACAGGGCCACTATCAGGGACTGGAGTCTCTCCATCATCAGTCGAGGGGGCTATGATGCGAATTTCAGGGACTTGTGTCACCCTATCATCAGTCGTGACAGCTACAGGGCCACTGGATGTGTCTTGTGGAGCAACGCTATCGCTATCGGCACTCAAAATCGCAGGGGTGGCAGAACCGCCTAGATTGCTGGGGCTCGAGGTCCCGAGAGGGTTCCGAACAGCTGCTCCGGCGGCAGACGTCCTACGTTGCCTAACCGATCAGGGTAAGACGTCGGGGCAGGGGAATAGCCCTGTTGCTTTTTGCGGAACCATTCGATAACGATACCGATAACGACGAGGAGGAAGGTGAGGACGAGAGCGATGGCGAGGCCGATGAGAACAATGGCCCATAGCGCGAGATGCTTGTCTGGGAGTCGTTAGCATACAGGCCGAGACTGGAAATGGTTTCTGCGACTTACTTGACTGTCTGAAGAATGAGTTGGGGTTCTCTACAAACACAGAGGACAGGCTTCCAGTTTGTGTTGAACCGTCTTGGCCCTTGGTAGCAAGGAGGAAAGGAGTGAGTGTAGTGCCGTTGAAGAGCGCGGCAGATGCTGTTTTACCCGCAAACGAAGTGATGTTGAGCTGGCCCATGAGAAGGAGATCTTGGTTGCGGTCGATGATATCGGATTCGCCATGATCTTCGGACAGAGAAAGGACCTGAATTCCACGAATTTCGGTCGAGCTACCGAACATGGCCCCATCAGCAGGCACCCACTTGGTACCGTCAAATCGCTGCAGGAACGCAGTGCCATCGCTTGCTGTACCAGCGGCCCAGAATTGGTCTCCGTTACGGTTAGCAATGGTCAGAGCAGTGACCGGACCAGGAAGGTCGTTGGCACCGGGAACGACTGCGAATTGTCTGCTTGATGAGTCGTAGGTCAGGATCTTGGTCTGGTTGGTGCCAGAGGTGAGGTTGCCGGCAATGAGTAGACTGTTGTCGCCAACCCATGTGAGCGACGAAACATCACCGGAAAGGCCAGTGCCTGGCGCAGTCCATTGACTACGCTCGGTATTCCAGATGCACACTGCAGCACAGCTCAAGGCGCCAGCGGACTGGAACTGACCTGCGACGAAGATGTCCTTGGACTTCGGTCGTGGAGCGATGGCGTTGACTGTAACGTTCACACCCTGAAGCGGTGGCGGCTGAGCCTTGGTGAACGCGTTGCTGGCAAGGTCGTAGGCGACAACACCAGCAACACGATTGTTGTCGAGCTGTCCGCTGATCATGCCACCGGCATACAAGATATTGTCCAAGACAGCGACGGCCGCAAAGGTGGAATTGGCGTCCAGCTCGTCGTCAAAGCCGGTTACTTTGTCAGAGTCGTTACCGTCAATGATGAGGAGGTTGGTGATGTTGCGGTCCTCTGCGCCCTTGGTTGCGAAATGTCCAGCGAGGATCGTCTTGTTCATGCCGTTTTCCTTGTAGAATGTACCAGTACGGACTCCAGTGGTGTTGAGGTTTTGTCCTTGAACGATGGCTCGCTTACGAGAAGGGGTCTGCTGCTGCTGTTGCGCTTGGATCTTGATGGGGAAAGCACTGAGTGACAATTCATCTCCACTTTCGAGCTCAGCAGTACCGCTCGCGAGAAGAGCACCAGATGATACAGATCCACCATACCAGCGTTCACCTCCGGGCACATCAGCGAAAGTCATCAGTCTGCCGGACATGGCTAGAGAGTAGAAGTCCAGATTGTGCAGCCAGTTGCCACGAGATGGCACCCAGACTGCGAAGTCATTAACGCTCGTGCTGGGGTTGTTACCAAAGGCGTTGACCCGGCTGAAGAATCCGCTGACAGCGAGCACGTCTTCGGGAGTATTGGCGGTGATGTTGAGCGAGAACGGTACCAAGTACAGGACGACACCATCTACACCGGCACCAAGGGGTTGCCACTGGTTGTTGTTCAAGGTAGCCACTCCGCCAAGGCCTGCTACGTTGTTCTCCGCCGTGTTGGTGAAGTTACCACCGACGTACAGCGTACTAGCGTTGTGGAACATAGTCATGACCTGGTTGTTGAGTCCTTTGCCGGGAAGTGCGCTGGGTTCTTCCGCTCCCTGTCGAACTTCGAAGATGTTGTTGCGGTCGTCGCTGCTGTTGAAGGATCCGCCGACATACAGTGTGTTGTCACCTGTTGTGACAGTGGTAACGAAAGCCTTCTCCCTAGGAATGAGGCTGGCTCCGGCGGCAGTGATGACCGACTTGGTAAAGTCGTCCGCGTCTACGGTCTGACCAGGCTTGTACTCGAAGAGACCGTTCAAGTTACCTGACGTAGCCTTCAGAAGCGTGAAGCGTACCCTCTGTGCAACGACAGTCAAGGGGCCAGGGCCTTGTCCGCTTGCAGGTCGAAGGACTACTTGTGGACGGGAGCCATCGGTGACATCGATGAAGCCGTTGTAAACCTCGTCGTACTTGTCAAAGTTGTTGGTCTGCCAAAGCTCAACGCTGTTGGGCTCACCGCCCAATTGTGCTGTGACGTTGACCCGACCGCGGGTGCCGCAAGTACCATCGCCCTGGCATCCAGGCGTGTAGATGGTGACAGAGTAGTTGCCAGACTGTTTGATGTCGGGCAGGAAGGTGACGCTGGTCGACTCGGTGTCGATGGGTGTACCCTGCAGAGATGTGGTGAGATACCTGGAGGAGCTGTCGTGCGACGGAGAGACCTGCCAAGAGCCGGTAGAGGTTGCTTCTGACCCTGACGTGGTTGAACCACAGTTCTTGGGCTCGTTGAAGTCGTTGACTGCATATGAGTACATGGCGTCCTGGAACAGCTGGATACCGTTAAGACCACCACCCTGACCGTACCATTCCGAGACGTCGATCCTGAAAGCGTTCATACCAACGACGTTGACGAAGGAGAAGTCCTGCGCAGTGGTATTGCCCTCGGGCAGGGGGCATGTAGCGTCGCAAAATTTCTGTTGTCCGCTCTGGGGATCGGTGAAGGTCAGGTTCAAGATACCGCCGTCTGGAAGTGCAGTGAAGCGGAAAGTCTTGCTACCACGGCCCTCGAAGTCCGTGTTGTAGAGCTTCATGCTTGTTGGCTCGAAACCGAAGCCAAAGTCGGCCTTCCAGAATCCGGGCGATCGATCGGCGAGCAGCCATGTCGAGCCGGCGCCTTGCGTGGAAAAGTCGGCTTTGCATGCGATGTTCTTGGGGTCTGAGAGGCCGTTCTGGCCGGAGCTTGTCTGGGCGGTTATGTCTGCGGTAGCGATGGGGATGACCTGCGTGTTGTTTTCGCTCGACACAATCGACGCATTGCCTCCTCCGAGACCGTTGAACTCTCCTCCAAAAATTATGTTGTCGTTGGACCGGATGATGGAGTGGATGGGGCCATTGAAGCCATTAAACGATAGGTCTTCCCAGCCGTTCTTCCATACTAGAGCGTTGGACGAGTTCGCACCTTCTAGACTTCCTCCCACGTAGACCTGACCGCCATCTCTATCACAGTAGAGCGCGTTGACCGATCCAGTAAGTCCTTCGAGTGGAGTGACGTTGCCGTTGTTGGGGTCGAGCAGCGCGATGCCTCCAGGTGTACGAAGATCGCCAACACTAGTAAAGTTGCCTGCGAACACGACTCGTTCCGCGCCATTGACCTGGAGCGCGCACATGGCCTTGATGTCGGCATCTGTGGTGTTGATCGTCGCAAAGACGCCATTGGGGTAGCGTGCGAGGAGGGCTCCTCCAGTAGCGGGAGTATTTTGATTTTGGCCTTCATACTGGTAAAGCGATATCGAATCGAAATCTCCAGCGAAGGCTATCCGGCCTAAATCGTCGAGGTTGAGGTTGGGATTTGGGACGGGTTTGAAATTATAGGCCGTGGCTTGCGAAGCCACGAGCAGCGAAAGGGTGAGCTTGCCGGCCGCCGTGCGCAGAAGGGCAGCGAATGACTCCTTCATGGCAGCGGTGGGTAGCGAGGTCGATGGGAAAAATAGTGTTGGGGGTGCGAGTGTCGGAGGCGACTGTTATGAAGAAGGGATGGCCACGTTAGGCATGGGAGCGGGTGTCGGTGGGCGGGGAGGCAGGTGCGGTTTGCTCAGGGTCGTCGCGATCGCTGGATCCGGTAGGCTGGTTCCAGTGAAGCTGTCAATTAGCCTCGCAAGGGCGCGCAATGGTCTCCGGAATCGATTATGGGCGGCAGGAACGAGGAGGGCGAGAGTCGGTCGCTCTTGCGATGCAGGCGTTCGCGGATGAGGAAGTGCCGGAGGAGCGTTGCTTGGCGCACGGTGAATGTGACGGTGATGGTACGGGGGGGTGTATTAGGTGCAGGTTGCTGCTGTGGTGCTGTCTTTGCTGGTTGGTTTCCTGAAACGAATGACTGAGGTGAGGGTTGCGCGTGCTTGAAGGTGTCTGGGAGCCGGCTTCCCGTGTGGCACTGCTTTTTGGGAGAGTTGTCAGAAGAGCCGTCAATCGCGTCGAAGGGAAGGGGCGCCCGGGGCTGGAGCTTGTGCGCTGATGAGAGGCCGCCAAGTGCTGGCGTGATTGGCAGCCCGTGTGCGCTAGTGGGTCCTAAGATTGAGCCTGCAGTAGCGTGCATGTGCGAACCGCGACGATTGAATATCGATTCGGTGCGACAAACACGTTCAAATTCAAGCTTGCAGGGTCTTCGCCGTCGCATTCACGAGAGTGTCCTGGACGACCGTGGTTGTTGTTGGGAGCCAAAGCAAAGAAACGCGTCACTCGCTGCGCCGTTGTCATCTGACCTGCCCCTTTATCCCAGCAGATGCACCGCACAACGCCCGCTATATAGCCGCTGCAGGGCGGTGCAACTAACAACTTGACGACGCACTCTCCCGTCATCGTGGCTGGGGTAGCACCATGTTCTTGCCCGCTACCCAAATCCTTAATCACCTTTGTGCGGCCATGGTCGCGCATGTCTTTCACTGTTCTCAACAACAGCTTTGTTCACTAATATTCCTCTTCGGCGCCGTTTCTTCTTACATCCGAGACTGCTAGGCGTTTGGCATTGATGCCTGAGGTGGCCAGACCTCGACCTCCAACAGCGTGAATGCAACGGCATTTGAAATTCCTGCTGCGTCACATCTTACTACCATCATGTTATATTCTGACACTTGACTCGCCACTTGCGTCAAACTCAGTTGATAAGATAGGTTGACGGCATGATCGCGATGAGTTGTTCTGGTGATGACGCACGTCTGCCATCCAGACCCTTGCCCGGATCGCTGCCCAGGTGTCAACGGTCACGACGCACGACGGCGTGTTTCACGACTCATCCCGGCCACTCCTGAGACCCAACCGTTGATGCTTGACCCGGTCGAGCGAAGTCTCACCCGCCTGTGCACCAAAAATACATTCGAGGCCTTCTTCAACTGCGATCGTGAGGCGAGTTCGCACATGAGGCGCGTCTGTATAATAGGCAACATCAATTTTGTTGCTAGGCACACTCAAGATTGTTGTATCAAGAGATTAATATTATGTATCTGGTCGACCAAATAAGCTCCAACGCCGCGCTGATGCTTCCAAAAAAACAAGAATCTTCATATCCGCACCTGGCCTCTTACATCACAGGCTGCTCTTTCTCAACGTCCCCAACCTTGTCCTTGTCCACGAAACCCCTCTCCGTGTCCATGGCACCATTCATGTCGTAAGCCTTGATGAACCAACTGCCGAGCAGGGCCACTGCACTAAATGCCAACATGACGATCCAGATGTACTTGAGTGCGTCCGTGTAACTTTCCCTGAGTTGCTCTCTCATCTCTCCCTCAGGCATCTCCTTGATGATCTCCACTAGCCCAGCCGCATCGCGAGAATATTCCGCCGCCAGATCAGCAAGTAGAGGGAACGTAAGCATTTTCTTCTTCATCTGGTTCTGGAAGATGACACCCCCAATGGCAACACCGAGCGTCTGCCCAAAGGCACGGAAGAAGGAGAACATGTTCGCGGCGTAGGCCTGGTCTTTGGCCGTCGCTGAAGCCTGTACGGCCAGAGCCATGGCAGGGAACAGAATGCCCGTTCCAACACCGCCAACCAGATTGAGAAAGATCCAAGACACTGTAGATGTGTTCGGCTTGAGGATGATGAGGAGGCCCATGCCGAGTGTGGCGAGGAACCATCCAGCGCGGTTTGCCCATCGATATTGTCCTGTGACTGCGATTGCAATGCCTGTTGCGACTGAAGCTGGCGCCACAGTGAATGTCCACGGAAACATGGCCACTCCGGCAAGGATCGGACCGAAGCCTTTGACAGCTTCGAAGTAGAGTGGCATGTAGTAAAGGAGGGCCCACAGTATGATGCCGTGAATGACCGTCGACACGTAAAGAATGGCAGCGGACATGTTCTTGAATACCGAGGTGCGGATGAGGGGGTTGGCGGCGAAGTACTCAATGTACACAACGAAGGCGATCATACCGATGGCACAGACAATCAGGGGCACGAGAGTACGCCACGAGTCCCAGGCATACTGCACTCCTCCCCAGGTGACTGGAATCAGGAAGCCAGTCGTTGAGGCAAGAAATAGCACCATACCAGCCCAGTCGACCTCTCGAAGCTTCGCCAGGAAGGAGCCATGCTTCTGGTTGAGCTTGAGGAAAACCGTAATCAAAGCCGCACCCAGCCCGAGGAATGGCAAGTTAATCCAGAATATCCATCGCCAGGACACGTTCTGGGCGAAGCCGCCACCTAGACGTTGTTAGTACAGGCTACTTAGATCTAGCGCCTAATATAAGGAGAAGAATGAACAGGTCTAGAGACTACATCGAGATAAGAATATGCAAAGTGGGTTATCTAACGTCGACGTAGGCTCTAGGGTGTTTTATGTTTTGCCCAGGTTGACGTCCTGGTATGTGCCACTTACCGAGAAGAGGCCCTGCCACCGTACCGACGGACCACATGGCTCCGAAGAAGCTGAACCACTTTCCCCGCTCACGGAGCGGTACAGTATCGACTACGACCATCTCTGTCAAGCAGATGATACCGCCACCACCGATTCCCTGAATTGATCGACCGACTAAGATGACGGTGAAGTTGTCGGCCACGGCGGGGATAATTGAGCCAGCTAGGAAGAAGCCCAGACTGACGTAGATCAGTGCCTTGCGCCCAAAGATGTGTGAGAATGATCCGAGAACGGGCTGGAAGACGGTTGACGTCAACAGGAAAGAAGTTCCGCTCCAAAAAGCTTCAATGGCAGATCCGTGTAGTGCTTTGGCCATGATCTGGGGAATATTAGCCTAGAAGTGTGCAGTTGATATCATGGTCATACTGGTAGCGCGACTGAGATTGAAGTGGCATCCAGTGCGGCCATGAGTGTGATGATACAGAGACTGCCAAAGGCGGCCAGAAAGCGCCATCCAGGCTTGAATTTCTCAGGTTCAGGAGCTTTGGGCCTATCAGATACTGAATCGCTCAAGGGCTCTGTGCGAAGTATATCGGGTTTTAGTTCGTCCTGGACGGACATTGATGAAGGTGTCGCCATGATATGCTAGTTGCTGCGCAGTACTGCGAAGGAAAGCGGCCAAATAATATGAGGTGGATGCGAGGCTGAGATAGCTGCGAGTTGAACGACTCGTGACGGTGATGCTAATTAGATTTTGTCTGGCTGATCGTCACTTTGGGCACAACTGTCAGTCTACATATACTCGCTGCATGCCGTGATTATGCGACATAACGGACGAAGATACCAATTGACCGGTGCAGAGTCAGAGCGCAGGAGTCTTCACACACACCCCTCGGGACAACATTGCAGTGTAAGATCTTTCGACCGGACATCTTACTTCAGCCTCAAGCCATCGCACTAACCACATTGCTCCATCACCTTACAATACCGCCACGCCAACCTAGGGAAAAGCTGAACAGCCTGGAGCCTACTTTGACTTTGGGTCGCCTCCTTTGCAAGGTTTTGGATCAATGTAGTCTGCAGACCTGTTCAGTTTTTCCCTGGTATGAGGTGCCGCGAAAACGTGGTCGGTGCAGAGCAAGACTTTGGCTTACGGTGGCACTCAAAGGCGCGGCCGAAATCAGGAAATCGCTGTTGGAACCAATCAGACTAGACAGCAAACCTTTCAGATCGGGCACAAGACGCGATATGGCGTTTTGGAGCAAGTATGTTTAGCGTGCATGCGATGCTGATGGGCTGCCACATCCAACGCTGCCCAGGTGTGCGGGGAGTTGTTCATCCGGCTCTAGGCCAATCTGAACTGGGGCGTTTTCGAGTCTCTCCGACGAGAGCAATGACGACGTGGTTGCCTGAAAAATAAGTCTCATATTATCAATCACGGCGATATGAGTGTGGAGATTGTACATGATGTAGAGTATGATTGTCGATTGAGATGTCGTGCAGCTTACAGTTGCTGCCGCGCCTCAGGGCCGGAGGTGGTTGAGCGCTAGTCACGAATCCGGCGAAGAGGCTTGGCGTTGCTGGAATACGCGAATTGACATGATGCATGCGTCCCACCCTCTTCAATCGACAGACTGCTTTCATGCAACATCACCCATCATGCCATTCATCGATTCGGACTGGTGCTTGCACAACACATTGTCCTCTTTGGGAGCTAGCGCTTAGCTGTGACTGCCTGTCCTCCAGGTGCCGACATGTGGAATCGCGAACTTGGGCAACCCGGCCTCCAGATGCCTAAGCACCTCACTGAGAAGAAACAAAGTGGATGTTCGCAATGAGCTGCTCTACTAGCAGCTGTGTACAGATCTTGCTTGGGCCAATGCGGGGCCGCATTCATTCCGTAGGCTCCAAAATAGAAAAGTTATTGACTTTTGTTTTGCGATAGGGCACCCCTAAGCGATCCGTTCCTGTTGATCGCCACGTGCAGCTCTTGATGGCGCTCTTCTTTGTTTGTAAACTTCTGGAAGCACTTCGGAGTGCGCAAGTAAGGAGTGTGTTCCAACAACTTGTACCTGCTCGCGACGGTCCAGGACGAAGGAGCGCATCTACCTAGGTATCCTTGAAGCATCATACCTTGAGGTCATCACCGCCCGAGAACATGGACCGAACCGTGGGGTCCTTCAAGTCCTTCATTCGAACCGTACCGCCAAATCCGAGCACCTTGAGCGACGTCTCGCCATTGACTCCAGGTAGTCAGACACTTTACCCTCTAATCATGCCATCACCGCCGAAGCAAATGGACACCGATGTTAACTTCACTCCATGGATAGCGCCCACCGAATGGGATTCCATCCCACCTGCTCAGCCGGTTCCGATCTCTGCGACCCGCGAATGCTCCCCACTAATACCAGAGCCGTCTCCCAGTGTTGGCAGCGTACGGACAGAGTCTTGGTCCTGGTCCGCTGAAACGAGCGACTTTAAGCCTGCACCATTGCGACCTGTACGTCAATATTCGGACCCTGCATCTAACCAACCAACACGCGAACTGTCGAGATCTTCGTCGCATGGAAAGGCCCTAGACACTCTTATCTCTCCCACCTTTTCAGAACCATCCGCAGATGTCATATACCAAACATCAAACGACTCACGTAGAGCGAAAGCATACGTATCGTTGGGCATAATGTGGCCGAGAGAGACAAAGACTGGATGCGAATACTGGTCTGCTACTCCGGATGAAGACAGCACTACGCGAATACCTCCAGCATTACGAGGGAAGAGATTACCACCATTGTACCGTGCGAGCCCGTTGTTGGATGACGAATGCGAAAATGAGGAGCTGAGCGATAAGTTGCTACTTCTAGGCTTCTCGCAGGACTATCATGGTGTACTGGCGGACCAATACTATGAATGCAGAGCTCTTCGACCTCGAAGCAGCGTTCGGAATGTCACCTCAACGGGGTTGTCTATGTGCGGCTGCATACCAATTCCAAAGTTCCGATCGAGAACCTACAAGTCGATGTCAGAGCAGCCGGCGGGAAGAAAGACTTCGAATATGCGCAGGAAAAGCAAAAAGAGGAGCTTTTGGACACCACTCCAGCACATGAATCGAGAAGACCAACAACCGTGCGTTGACGAAAAGACGCTCTCGCGCTTTACCAAAGGATCTACAGCTTCCCATCAGAAATCAGTTTCCAGCCTTCCGTCCCAAGCTAAAGGCCAGGGGACCAACAAGTCACGCGCTAGATCTATCGAACATACAGAGACCGAAAAGCCTTCTCATATCTCGCAAAGAACAGCCTCTGATTCTTCTTCACAAGGATACCGCAGCGTTCTGTTCCGGCTCCCCAGAGGTTTCGCGTTGGTCCGCCTGTCTTCAACTACAACATCACAATCCGAAGCGACAAATAGCTGCGACGCTCTTCCAAGCGAGCATGAACGACAAAAGTCGAGCGCAGTGTCCGACTACCCCTGGCGCAGGTCGTCCTGGTACAATTCATCTCCGCCGACTTCTCCAACCGCGCTCGAATTCCCACCTCCGCTTCCTGTCTACGCGTCGCAAATCCCGAGGTCTCAATCGGTGGGTTCCTCACCATATCTGGCTAGCAAAACGTGGGTGGAAGAGGCACATGAGGAAAGACTGCCTGATGAAGAGGATAATAGGAATAGTAATGGTCTGGTGAAAAGAGCACGGGATGTGCGCGATACATGGCGAAGGCATCAGAGAGATACTAGGCAAGATAAGCTTAAACGAAGTATTAGAGTTGTTGGGCTTGTAGATCCGACATTAGCGGCTGGCTATGAGAAGTCTTGGGGTAGACGAGAAGGAGACGATAGCAGTGATTAGAGTATAATGACAAAGCATACAATTCAGAATGTCCTGTGGAAAGCAATTCCATCATCTTATCATACTAAAATGATTACTTGTTTCCCTACTTTGATGTCCTACTAGCGACTCCTTCCTCAAGCCTCGCCGTCAAGGCTAAGACTCAATGAAAAAGTAGATCTCTGATCGGCTAAGGCAGAGTTCGCGAACGATCCAGCGCTCATACGAAGTACCTTACCAGGAAGACACTCGAAATGCGGTTCGAGCTCGGTTGATCCTGTATATCCAAGTGGGTAGAGACACTGCCTCGCATCCCATGACACGCCGTTGACGCGTCACTAAATCACCCGAGAGCGATCTAGCGAGGAGACCACCGAGAGAGTGGATATCCTGAACAGGGACTGTAGGTTGACTGCGCACCTGTACAGTGTTCAGATGGGGGCATAACTCCTTACTAATCCCGGAATACAAGACTAGCAAGCGGGACCCATCCTCCGGTGTGGCCCAGAGGTCACGCGCCCGGACGCGTGAGTCCTCCAATCCATGACATGTAATGATAGGCGTTACATATCACCAGATGGGGCGTCTGGCACGCGAAGTCGTCTATCCAGAATTGTCATACAGGTGCCCGCACGTGTATGATGATAGTTCGGAGAGCGCTATCTCCCCGATACTATCGAAAATGTGTTTCGTGCGTACAACGAAGCGGGAGGTGAGTGACCGCGAGTCGACCTGCGACAGTCGCAGTATAACCTCGACAGCTGTTCTGCCACGGCCAGCGTGCGAACACTGTCACTCTGAGTGCCGTAGAGAGGCCAAGTACAAGCCAGCTCGTACTTGCAGGGCGGACGCTCCTGACAAAGAGACCGCTCGTCGCGGATAATTAGTGTAGCGTGCAATTTGACGTTTCGGGGTGTCATAACTCGCCCAGAACTGGTGGCGATGTCAGTGAAGCTGGGGATTTTGCGAGTGAGAGCTGGGCTTACTATCTGTGTCGGTTCGTGATGGTCTGCTTGAGATGTCGCGCTCTCCAATAATTGGGCGCATTTGCGTGGCGAGGGACGCAGGTGGGACATTGAAGGAGGAGAGAAGGTGAGGGCAAGCGTTATCAAGTAGAAGCTCCGGCTTTGGCCAAGCCGCTAGCGTGGAGTCACGTTAGTAGTGAATGCCGTCGGAAACGTCACCACTCCACAACGACAAACAACTTGGTGAAGGTGAATTTTCTATCTCCCGATACAGCCGCTACAACCAGTACTACAAGCCAGATCGTAGGCCTTTGGACATTCAGGACGTCACATTTGGATTAGACACTCGCGATAGGTTGACAAAACGAGGGAGTGCACTTCGACCACATCGGCGTCTGGCGCCTACTATGATGTAATGATCCCAACACTATAGGCCAATGAAGCGCTCGTATTTCTACGTTGACTTACTCGGCCCAGAACTAGAGGTTAGTTAAGCGCTCATATATCTACAATGGTTTATTCAGCCCATACCTATATGTTAATAAAGCCCTTATATGTCTACAATAATCTACTTGGCCCAGAGTTATGAGTCGATCAAACGCCCAGGTGCATTCAATGCTTGCTTAGGCGTTCCTGAAGGTATATTCAATGACATGTACGCGAATACAGAGGTAACTGTACCTGGTTAGGTAGGGTAAATAAAGCAATGACGTACGCAAAATATAGGTATGTTCCGGCGCAAACGCGAACCGCAAGCGCGCCTCATAACGCTTTGACTCTCCTAGGTAGCCTCCAGGGTAGCTCATCCTGTGTACTTCTACATATAGGTAACACTTTGTCTTCGTCAACTCTGTATTTGCCTCGACATGCCTGAAGATCCAGCTGACACGTAAGCCTTAACCCGTTTACCAGACAAGTACAAAATAGACACTGACCTTGTATATCAGAACTGCTGCGAACGCCCGCGACTCACCACTACTGCGACTTCCTGCCGAACTTCGCAATCAAGTCTTCGAATACGTATTCGATAATGTGCGATTCCATGTCGACAAGACTACGACGCCAATCCCGTCTCCTCAGCACGACTCCCGCTGTATCACGAGCTCTGAAGTGCACGTTCGATTTCGCATACCGTCTACGTGTCGCCAGATCTACGCGGAGACAGCCGTCATGCCCTATCGTTCCGCAGTCCTCGAGTTTACCACTCCAGCCAGGCTCATGGCCTGGTTGAGAAACTTGCCGCCGGGAGCTAGAGGCTATGTGAGAGATGTTTCTTTCTACGCAAGCGGTGTTGCTTGTCTGCTATCGCGAGGTACATCTAATGACCATAGCATTGACCCCCCGCAACACAACTGGCTCATTAAGGCCTGTGGGTCGCTTCAAGGCATAGAACGCGTTCACTTCGGTACTTATGCGAGGGGCCTCGATACACAATTGGCTGCGGGTGTCGAATTCCTCCAAGAACAACTCGTCAAGTCGGACGGAAGGAAGGTGGAAGTAGTCCTGCGGTGAGCTGCTCCTTGAGCCGTATTTGGCTGTCTTTGCAGAATATCTAACATCCCCCAGAACCCGCGTACTATCCAGTATGTAGCCGCAGGTGGACTACATATAGTCCGATTCGGTAGCTTGCCTTCACAATGAGACCACGTTGAGGCATATGAAGTGACGTGGCTCTCTCGTCTTGTACATCGCCGCGATGATGTCTGCTGCTAAACGGGGTTTGCGATTTAGAAATACCACTAGAAATGTATTTGTATTCATTAGAAGCAGTAATAGCATCTCGAACTAATTACGAAAGCGTCTTGTCTCCTTCAAACCACCATCTCCCAAATCTGACCACCACCCATCAAGCGCCAAAGACCGCCCTTTCGATCGCCAGCCACCTCACCTCTGGAAGCCCTCTGGTCGATCGTCTCCCAAAGCATGGGTGTTCCTGAGTACCGCGAGTAACTTCCGTCCAGAAGCTCAACATATAGATAGTCTCCGACCGCATAAATGTTGTTGACTACTCTGCCGCTGTCGATCAGAGTCCACCCTCCTGTCGCATTCATCTTGAGAACTTGGTTCGCGCTGCTATCCCATCTGTAGACGTTGTTACCTCCCACGGCCAATTTGGCAGTGTAAGTGCTGTCGACAATCTTCCATTGACCGGCGTTGTAGGGCGCTGGCGTGCGTACGATGGTGCCATTGTAGAGACGATTCCACATTGTGAGTTCATCGTCGAACAGGATCTGGGTCGAGCTGGAACTATCCGTGATGGGAGGCTGGTCGATGGTAACCCAAGCGCCGTCAGATAAGCGTGCGACGGAGCCGTCTTTTCGTTGTGCAAAGAGCTGATCACCCGCGGCAACGATGTTGTAGACACTCGTGTCTGTACCACTCGTCGACTCCCACTCTCCAGGCTGACCCAGCCAGCGGAACGTACCACCATCGAGGTGCCTCTGCCAAAGGTTGCCGTTAGCGCCGGCGATCTGATAGGTCTGTTCGTAGTTGTCGACGGTTGTCCAAGCGCTGTTGATGTATCGCTGGATCTGACCGGTTGGGCGCACGATGTAAAGACCATCGTTGGCAGCTGAAACACCTGGAGATGATGTTACAGTGATGACGTTATTGATCCTCGCGGTATCGTCAATCTTGATCCATTTTGGCGCAGCCCTCGACGCTACGGCGCTTGAGGGCAGAGAATTGGTCTCGTCTCTGATCTTCGGATGGGGCGATGCAAGGCAAGTAGAGAAGGCTCCGAGAAGCAGTTGGATATAAGATGACTTCATGCTCGGACGATACGTGCGGTTGATGAGTTTTGGAGAAGGGTGCTGAAAGCTGCAGCGGGAAGACTGTCTGAGGCTTTATACGTATTCCAGCGGTGTAATCTAGAGCCTTCGTGATTAGCTTGTAAATCTCGGCTGGTTTGTCACATACATGGTATGCAGGTATCTGGCGAAGCATCGTGGACTGTTTCTTCGCTTCATCCCGCTGGCCTGTACTCGACCCTGGACTAGATCGGGGCGTATATCTTGGCATTATTGTGAAGCCTCATAGCGCTTTTTGTAATTGGCAGGATCGTAAGCGAAGTATACAACTTCTGGTAGGTGGGAGAAATTGGGATGTGGTTGGTGGATGTGGTGAATGCACGAATGGGTCGCGGACCGACCCGGCAATGTCAGCCTCGGTGTCGAACGTCAAGTAAAGGATCTACGGGTAGGTGGATTTGTTCTGCACACTTCCTGAGCACGCGTTCGTTCCTCCATCTCTTCGGCGCTTCGAGGAGCGTTCGATCTACTCGTTGACACCCTGGAACCCTAGCAAGATACGTCGTATCGCGTTGCGTAGTTATCCGGCGCTATTGAGAGTCCAACGCACCAAGCGAGCTTCCCTGGGTGATGAGGATGGGAGGCCTTTCAACAAATTTCTTCGCAGCGGATCCGAATGCTGGTTAAATCATGCATATTGCATGAAATGTTATAGTGTCGACGCGCTCTCGTGCTAACGCGAAGATTGGAAATAGATGCGGCTCTATAGTTCGTGGCGGTATCAGGGTCCAGTCAAAGCGCCCTGCTGGAGAGTCGAGACGTCTACGCAGGATTCCGGAAGCCACCTAGGCACCAAGTTTCGCCTAGCTCGGGGCGTATTGAAATGTAAGCTTCACGGAACAGGAAGGTACTAAACGCGTAGACGGATGCGCGGAGGGTCGTCCAAAGAATGTTGGTGAGAGACGAAAAGATGGACAAGTGGCACATCGCTTCGAGACACTAATCTTGGGTAAATGCGTGTCGGGAGCGGCAAAGTCACGTGACCTAATCATGAATTGAGCGACGACGTTTGGATGGAGATGGGCCGGAGTACTGATGGAATTGTGACTCCTGTAGGATTGCAGAAGGTGATAGTAGATGTGGCGAAGTCGTTCGTCGGGCGTAATGATGGAGGGCGGTGCGCAAATGGTTCAAAGACCCCGCCGCACCGCTCGTGCCTTAGCGTCACCGCCAGCCCGCCTTGTCACCAGTTCCGTTGTTGACTTCGAAGCCGCAATACTACGTCCGAGCCCGCCAGTCCCCGTCAGACGGCGATGAACTGCTGGAGCGGAGCGAAGTTAGACCCCCTCTCTTTGCCGCCGCCCGTGGGCTTGAGGCCGCTCAAGGACCATGGAGATGCGACATATAAAGACGACAATCATGTCAATGTCCGAAGTCCACCACAAGCTTCCACTCTTGTATTTGCTGCAAACTTAGTCAGACACGTATCAATATCTCTTCGAAAGCCTTTCATCTTCTCCAATGGCTCACCGAAATCGCCTCGCAGACGCCCACGTCCTTGTCTTCGGCGGCACTTCAGGGATCGGCTATGCCATCGCCAACATGGCCCTCGCATCCGGCGCACTCGTAACGATCTCTGGATCTGGCCAAACCAAAGTCGACAAAAAAGTCGAGATGCTGCGATCTCTATACCCAAGCATACCAGACTCCAATGTAGCAGGCATCGCCGTCGACCTTATGGACAAAGAGAACTTGGAGTTCAACTTGAAGGCTATGCTGGACAAAGTGACCGAGGACGGCGAGAAGAAGATCGATCATATCGCGTTCACAGCCGGCAATCCGCTCTCGCTGCCCAAAGTTGCGGAGATCGACGTGAATACCCTGATGGAAGGCTTCACAGTTCGCTTTCTCGCCCCGTGTGCCTTGGCCAAACTCATTACGACGGGCGATTACATGCCCAAAAGCTCCAACAGTTCTATCACACTCACAGGCGGCACAAACACGCATCGCCCAATGCCGAACTGGACCCTAGGCGCAGCGGTCGGCGCCTCAGTTGAGGGCTTGACGCGCGGTCTGGCGGTGGACATGGTTCCCATTCGCACGAATATCGTCCATCCCGGCGCGATCCAAACAGAGTTGTTCCATGATTTCTTCAAAAGCGCTCCCCCTGAGATGATGGAGAAGATGAAGAAGGGGAGCAGCCTGACGGGGGAGTTAGGGCGCCCGGAAGATATAGCGGAGGCATATGGCTGGGTCATGAAGGATCGGTTCGCGAACGGGACGCAGGTGAATAGCGACGGCGGGCGATTGTTGGTAGGTACCGAGTAGGTAGATAGATAGCCCAATGTGTCTGCGCAGTAGCGGTGAGTTGACGCTCACGTCTCACTTTCACCTTCACTTTGAAATCTCATCTCGCCCGTTTGCGGTGACATCATGTTATTTCCCCAGTCACCTAATATTTTGTCGCACCCAAGAAGATACTTTGTCTCGTCTGTCGCAGCTTCTTACTTTTCTGTCGCACCCAGATACCGACATCGTATCCTACACTCACTTCTCTCAACACCACACCACCACCTGCCACCTACGATGGCACCACCGACGCTACAAGGTAGCGAAATCGTGAGCGTGCCGACTACGAGGGCGCCACCAAAGCTGCAGGAGAACGGGGTCCTGAGCCTGGAGGATACGCCCGGCGAGATCAAGAAGATGTAAGTACATGACTACGATCAATTTAACTACAATACTAACATTGATATAGCATTGACCAGAATGACACGCAGTCCCCGCTGCTGAAGCTCCCAGCAGAGATCCGCAACCGCATCGCAAGACTCGCTTGCGAGACAGAAACTGGTTTGGTGTGGTTTCTCGATGACAATGGCCATATTGTCACCTCTTCAAAGTTCCGCGAAGCGGTTTCCGCAAACCCTTTGAATGCGGTTTGCAAGATGCTGCGCGCGGAGACAAAGTGGCTGGAGATCAAGATGCACAAGATCAAGGTAGAGAGCCAAGCTTTTGTGCGAATGCACACCGACAAAGACCTCCGATTGAGGCAAATCAAATGCGGCATCGAGATAGCGATCATTCACCAAGGTGAATTCATGATAGAGAATCGCCGGCGTCAAGCCATCTTCGAATATGCCAAAGCAAACCCCGACATCAAGATCGTGGTGCGCATCACCAATTGGAAAGTTGCTTCGGCAATGATACCACTCCAGTACTTTGTCTGCCTGGGATGGGTAATGGAAAAGACCCTACGGGGCAAAAAGAGGAGTTTTACCGGTTGCATGAAGGCCTTTGCAAGCTGGGAGAATGGAAAGGCAAAAGAAGACCTCGATCTGCCAAATCTGAGGTTCTTCCCCAGCATGGTGTTCTTTGGCGAAGACACGTTCCGCCGCAACATGAACAATGGCGAGGAGCGAACGTTTGTCAAGAAGCTTCTCAAGCAGTATGGGAGTGAAGATGCGGTGGTGGAGGCGATGAACGTCTGGTTTGAGGAGGGTATATAGATTTTTGGGGGCTCCCTGGAGCCTACATTCACGTCAAGTCACCTACTTTGTGTGCTTATGACAAATCGAGATTCATTCCCCTTCTCTCGACTTCTTCTTTGACGTGAGTCCACTTGGTGCAGTCAACCAACACACCCTCTAACCCCCGCTTCCGCAGACTCTGTAGCTCTTCTGGACTTTTCTGCACGTCATGCTCAAGCGCGATCTTGAACTTCAACCCCAGAAAGCTAAACACTTCATCCATGCGTCCGAATAGAAGGGCGATCAAGTCCACGTCCTCTTTGAAGCTACTGTCGCCGGTGACGCGCCACTGAATAACGAGCACGCATGCTGCAACATACAACGAAGACCCGATGTGTGCAGAGAGCAGAAGGTCGATGGATATACGCGACGCATCTTTGACAATCTGCGCGATATTCTGAGCCGCTATCACAGCAAGTGTGAACTGCGAAGCCGACTCCTCGATTGAAACATGCTTCTCACGTCGGTAATGTAGAAGGATTGTCATGGTGTTTAGGATGATGTGTAGCCATGCGACATGACCGCGATCAGCTGGTAACGCTTCCAGAATCGAACTCGCTGTGCGCGGGAGGCTGAGATTAAATTTGACAATCATGTCGTCTAATTCGGTGCAATCTTCAGCATATTCAGGGCTGTCTGGAGAGGTGTGGAGAGAACACAACAGTTCACCGACCCGGCCAAGCAGGACGTGTGCTATAATCACGTAGTGAAAGACGTTCGAGGAGTCCTTGAGAACCGATACGGCGTTTATGAGACGCGACAGGTTTCTCGTGAACGGTAAGTTAGTGATGTAGTTATCTCTCAGTTCAGGATTCATGCCCTGGAATATTGCTTCAGCAACCGGGATATCGACCTTGAATTGTATCTCGGGTATAGCATGGGCCCAGCCCGTCGGCCATGCATGCATTCGATCCATGATGAACAATAGCCAAAGTGCTCGTCGGGATTCTTCTCGCTCGAGTGCTGACTCGCGGTTGATATTATCAGAAGCACATGAGTATTCGTTAATGGGTATTGTATCAGAGAGGTGGTGGCTGGCATCCATACGGTTCAAGCCGAGCACAACAGCCTGCCTCCAGGCCTTCCCCAAGAAGAGCCAGCTAGCAGAGTAGTCGCCAATAGTCCAAGCGTGGAACACAAGGAGTAGTACGGCCTGTATTGTGCGGACAGCCGGGTCTGGTCTTCGCCGTGTCAGATCGTAGGAGAAACGTGCTTGTTCGTACCAGTCTTTCGAGCGCTTTCGGATTGAGGCGTCTGGATGATACCTAGCTGTTACGCAGCACATGGCATATAGGAGAAGCGGGGCATCTTTCTCCATATCACCACATTCAACCTTTGCCAGAAAGCTCTTCCTGTGGAAGCAAGGGAACATGTGGTAGAGATGTTCGAAGAAGAGTTCGCCGAGTTGGAGGATAACATGTCGTGGGGGCAACTGTAAACTCTCCAATATATCCAAGTCTAGCGTACTGGCGGAATGTTCTGCGGTAGATCCCGGGGTGGGGTAGTGTGAGCTAGGTGCTACGGGTTCTGAGATAGTGGATCTGGGAAGATCGAAGTTCATGCCCGAGAACTGCATGAAGTCTGGTGACTCAAAAGGCATCGTATCGAAGCCTTGCGTTCGCGCCGGTGATGCCGAAACATGATGCTCTGTTCGGCTCGTTGATGACGTACAATCATCTCGGGTTGAGGCCGTGACAGCGTAGTCGCATCTGAGATTCAACTTTCTGCACAATGAGCAGCTCGGGTGTTCTGCCTGTAGTAAGCAACCTATCATCAGCCCCTAGCCGGCATGCGTGGACGGTGGTGCACATACATCGCATCTCTTCTTGCGCTGCCGACAGCTCTTGCAGGCCTGCTTACGTTTACTAACAGAGGCAGGAATGGTTAGTGTCTGCATCGCGATACGATAGCGGGCGAGTAGTGCACCCCACGGAATGAGAGGAGCCCTGGAGTGAGGATGCACAGCTGGTGCTGTTGTCGCACTAGTCCACGGGTCGGTTACGAGCGGATGCCGACGGATATAGCTCGGACTTAAGCTCGTTCAAGCAAAAGAGTAAATAGGTCTGTGGTCTACATTAATATAAAAGTGAATAAATTGCGTAGTGTGAGATTAACGTAGACTCTAGGATATTTAGTTTTATTCTTTAATAAGGTGGTTTAACGCAGGACAGTACAACTAAAATACGTATTGCTGGTTCGATGTACAAGTGATGAACCAGGTGAGGGCAAAATAGAAGCCAGGAGCCTAGGTATATTGTCATTGGGACATTTGCTTTGCATGTTTTCAAGCTAATGTAAGGCCTATATTGTCGCAGAGTGATTTACTTTGCATGTTTTTATCTAGATGTCAGGCCTACATGATCGCTGGGTCATCTACTTCGCATATTCTCATCTTGATGTAAACTGCAAACCTACCTACTCAATCATCGTCCTCATCATCCTCGTCCTCCCCAAACTCAACACCATACTCAGCACAGACATCCCACCGATCCCCCTTCGCACTCTTACTAACATACTTGGTGAACCGCAACACACCCCGATCCCTCAGCACAATAGCGAGGTTATTCCAAGCCGCAGGCTGACTGAACAAGATACCATCGTCCTCGTCATCAGCCGCAGACCTGTAGATAGCAGGATCGGCCTTTGCTTTGCGGCGCTGACCTGCACCAGTAGACGTTGAAGCTTCACCGGTGGGAACGCTGGGGTGATCGGCATCGTCTTCGCCGGCCATGTACATCTCGTAGCCGCCGACCTCCTCTTCGGGCTTGGGTTCTGGTTCTTTGGCTTTGCCCTTCTTTTTGCTCTTTTTGCTGCTGCTGCCGTTTTGCTTGGGTTCTTCCTCGGCGCCTTCTTCAGGCTCCTCGTCTTCGTCGCCCCAGCCGCGGGAGGGCGTGATACCGAGGCAAACTTCTAGCTGGGGGTCTTCTTCCTCGTAGGCGGTCGCGAGTGTGTAGTCGAGACCTCGCCGGAAACGACGCGCGAAGATGTTGCTCTTGGTGAGTGTGATACCGGTTACAAGAGAGATCCACTTCATGAACGCTGGGTGCGGGAAGAGGATGTCGACGAGGTCGTCGTATGGTGTCATGCCGTCGTTCTCGGGGTACGGCGTGGTCGGTATTGGCTGGATAGCTTTTCGGTAGAGATAGCGCTGCTTGTGTGGCGGTCGTGCGACACCTACCATCGATTCCTTGGAGTGCGGGTTGTTGGGTAGGCTTGGGTTCGCCTCGTGGTCTTTCGACTCAAGGTACTCTCGTAACCGCGCGGAGAACTTGTTAGACAGGAACTGTGCAAGTCGCAACGACGACTCGTCGCCAAACATGTTTGACAGCTCCTCCACTGTGTCCGGAACGAGGTAGTTTGGGTTCATAAACTTGATCAGGAAATCAATGTCGTTTTCAGTCAGCTCGTCGTCCTCTTGTTTCGCCTGCTCTTCCCAGTCTGGGTTGTCGACCCAGTGTGATTGCGGCTCGTCGAAAACGTCCGCCTTGCCTCCCTGCAGTTGAGCAAGCGAGCTCTTCTCTGCCAGCTTCTCTTCGAGACCCTCTTCGTAGCCTTCCTCGCCCTCTTGCGGAATGTGGAACCACCCGCTGATGGCCATGCGAACGCGACCACCGTCTTCTTCTGCCTTCTCTTCCAACCCTCTCCTGTAGACCTCCTCGACGTCGTGGAAACTCTCTCCAGGCTGGACGGTGAAGAAAGAGAGCTGGTTCCATGCCGGCGGTATCGATAGCGAAAAGTCCGGCTGTGGCACCCTAACCTTGTCGCCGTCTGGTGTCTCGAGGTGTTCGGTTGGGTAGAGTCGTAATGCGCCTCCCCACTCTGGCTTCCAAGGAATGTCAGGGTCCAGCAGGTACAGAATCCAACTTACACGCCGGCTTCCGATGACGTCGTCGTGGCAAAGTAAGTGACATCCTGGTGTGTATACATTCTGCGCCGCAGTCAGTACAGTTCCTCAGACAATGCGTCGCGCAACCTACCACTGCCATGTCCGTCTTGACACCACTCAATGGCCCAGAACCTGTTATCGAAGATAGGTACTTGCGAAAGGCAGACGAGTACAGCGAGTCGCGCAGGGTAAGCAGGGAAGGCAGGCGCTTGAGCGCAGAGTCGTGGAGGCCATCGAGGTTTGCGAGATCGCCAGATTGGTGAATCTTGTAGATGTCTGTCTCTTTGGGCGTAAAGTGGATGTGCTCGCGGATTTCGTTGCGGACATTGCGTAGGAGAGTATCGTCGACGAGGTTATGGATTACGGCGTGCTTGTAGCTATGGTTCAATTAGAACGTCATGGGTCGAAAGCGCGGAGATTAATGCATACGGCTGCGAATCCGCGTATTCGCTCGTATATCCCTCGAGTACTTTGCTGTCGAAGAGACCGCTGCGGAAATTGTTATGCGCCTCGTCGTCAGAGATGGCTCTCTTCTTTTTCGCCTTGCCATGCGCAGGCGCCTCATTTTTGCGCTTAGCCATTGCGGAGGTTTAGCGATAATTCCGGTAGGTTGGGAGAAAGTTCAGCTGTTGCGGAAGAGCAATTGAGGGAAGCTCGAACATAAATTTGGTCGGCCTTGGACGTGGAAATCGCCGATGCTATCGCCTGCCTCACACCACAATAGCTCCACCTAGCCGTCTGCAGCATCATGACGAAGATTACTTCCCAGCGTGGCCATGTTCTCCTCATGTTGACCGATCATGCTTCGGCGCAATAGCAGCTAGTGCTTGCGAAACTATGCTCAGATGCGTCCACGACCTCGTACACAGCTTGCGGGATAGGCACTCGCTAACGCGCGGAGAGCCAACCACTCCGGTTGGCTGATCCCCCGGGGAACATGTGTCCGGTGGCGTCCGGCGTTTAAGTTTAGTATCACGATGATCCATTCCCAGCCTTCATGTGAAGGATGACGACAACTACAGATAAACACGGTGTTGGTTTGATTGATTATGAGTAGCAACTGTCTATTGGGTATCTCGAAAGTGATCGACATGCTATAACCGGGTACGCCTACCGAATGCGCTGGGCGTCTCGATACAGGATTGTTGCAAGCATCTCGGGGGTATTGATATCCGCGTGACTTCAGCACAGCTGAACTGGATCAAGGCAGTGGTGACCGCGAAGTCTTAGTCCGCACGGCACACCTACTCCTCCTGGCCTCCTGCAAGCAGCTTGGCCATCTTCTCCTCCAGCATCTTCACATCATTCCCAACGGTCTTGACATTGTTGACCGTGGTGGCCTCGGCCTTCTTGTAGTCCCTCTCCAGAACCTCAAGTTGGCGCTCCCACCGCTTGATCTCCTGCTCCTGCTTGGATTGTCGGCTTTCCAACTGAGTCAATACTTGATCGGCTTGCCAAGCACTTGTGTGCACGAGTCGCAGTGTGCGCAGACGCTCGAGGACCAGAGGGAGAACGGGCGACAGCTTATCGATGGAAGGCAATGTGCCATACAGCGCATTGATCTTAGCCTCTTGGTCTGGATAGGTCACCGCCTTGTTGTCGCCAGAATTTGAGCTAGCCTGTGCAGCTTCATGCCGAACTTCCTTCAGATGCTCCGCTTCTGCTGTGAGCTTCTTGACGTTCTGTGTGACGGCGTCCAAGTTGTTGCTCGAAGCATCCCCAATCAAGCTGAGCGTCTGCTCCAACCTCGTCAGAGTAGAAGCAACAGGAAAAGGCGTTTGGTCACTGAGCTCCGGCATTGTGTTCCCGTTGAGGCCCAGATTGTTCTCAATCTGCGTTATGCGCTTATCAAACTCTGCCGCGTGATTCAGCACTACTTCGAGCTGACCCCTTTGAATCTGGGTGCCTGGTAGTGGCGGCTTGTTTGCGATGGCTTCGCTGAGCGTCGTGCTAGGATCAAAGGGCTTGTAGCTCTCAAACTTTTGTACCGTCCGGTCGAGTATAGCTTGTGCGCCCCGCGCCCCGCCCTTGTGTGCTGTGTATATGGTGTCGACTTTGCTTGCTATGGTCTCCATCAAGTCTCTCGGGTCTTGCTCCTCAATCTTGGACTTGTCCCCGCTCTCCACTCTTCGTTCGTACTCCTCCTCCAACCCGGCTAGCTCTCGCTTGATCCGCAATAGCTTCTTCGCAAAGCCTTCCTCTTCTTCATCGCTGTCATCTCCTATTATCTCGCCTCGCCTTCGCTGGCGCCGTGTTGATGTGCGGTAGGACTGCCGTTGTGCGGTGATGTTGTCCGAGAAATCGACCCCGCGGGCGTCTATCCGTGAAGGCTGGAAGCGATTGCGGGCTTGGTCGGGTTGGAGTCGCTGGTGACGAACTGCAGAGTCTCTCGGGTCGTCATCGTCGCCTTCGCCGTCGGATTCGGAAACGGCGGTGGAGGCTTGGATTGTAGACACATCTTCGGCGAGCTCGGGGGTCTCATAGATGTCCGGGGCGGTGTCAATGCCCGGGAGGTTGTCGTATTTTGGCCTGGTTCCTTCGGACATGGCGGTTGGCTGCAGGGAGGGGTAACGCTGGTTCGGCACAAGGTGGGTGTGTGCCAGGGGACGCGTTCAGAGTGGCAGTCGCGACTTGCGCTAGTCCCCGCACGGCATAGTGACTTGGGTATGGACTCATGTTATACACCGAATGGCAGGCATGAATGTGATGGTAGGCTTGCTTTTGCCTGTTATCAGGCGGGTTCATTCATCGCTAACTACATGGTACGCTCTCTCTGATACTTCATCCTGCATTGGCCATCAATGACCCTCCTCAACTGACTAGACATGTGCAGCGCATGCCGCCTTGTAATCGAAACGATCTCTCATTTTCGTCTATGCCTGGACCTTGAAAGTACGGCCGCTGGCGGTCTTCTTCTCCTTCTCCTCCGTCTCGGGTCGGGCTCTGCGAAGGACTGTAGTTTGTCAGTATAAGCCTGGCGCAGGCAGGATAGCACAACATACCTTGGAGGAAGTCTGCGGTCCGCTTGCGCATTCTTGTGTGAATGAAAGCCTTGGAAGCCTTGATATGGTAGTGGAAGTAATCGCGGAAGGTTTGAATGTGTGAGATAACCTCATCGCGCCGTTGCTTGGCGAGATGGCGAGGGAAGAGTACTGCAGAGGTTAGCAGGACGTACAATCAATCGTGCTAGGCGACCCACCAAATGTGATGTAGCCAATCTCAGCTGAGCCAGAGTTGTCAACTCCGGGGATGCCTTGCAGCTCAAGCGGCGGGTCATTCCTGAACAGCACTTGTGGTGCGTTCTGAATAGCTCTCCGCCTGGCGTCAACGAACTCCTGAAGGAAGACCTTTCCGAATATCCTGTCTGTCTCTTCCCGGAAGACGGTGGAGAAGATGACGGTGACACGGTCGTGGCTGGCCTTGATGTAGATGGCTTCCTCCTCTCGGTAGTGGATCGCGCGCACGGCACCGCCCTCTGCTACACCCTGTGGCGCCGACTCGGATGTGTACTTGGAGGCTTCCTCCTGCAACTCATGGAACTCGTCGAAGGCTTGCTCGAAGGGTGCAGCCATGGCGTTCCGCTTGAGGAGGGAAACGCGCCTGACCAGGTCTTCTTTGGCATCTGCACACCGTCAGCACCTCGTTCCAGCAGTCCGACAACAGACCGTACCTTGCTCTTCTGGCAGGTTCTCCAAATCTACCAGCACGGAGAAGTCATAGCCAGACTCTGGCTCCACGATATAAGGCCCATACTCTCGCTCCAGCACTGCCTGCGCACCGTATTGGACCAGCTCCTTGAAGCACTTGATGTGCAATGACACTAGTATCTTGGTCTTGCTCTCGGGTGTTGAGATGTGGAAGGTGACGCCATCGAAGTCGGAGACGACCTGGTCAATGTTGGCGGTAGCTCCTCTATGTGCTGTTAGCTACCTGGCTGGTGCTGCGGAGCGGAAGGCAGCGGGGCATGGCGCACCCATTGATTCGTTCCCTTAGGAGGGATTCGATAAGGACATTCTGATAGTCGAGCAGAAGCATGTTGGCGGTTCAGCTCCTCGTAGGCTGGTGGGCGTCGTCGGGCGGGGAGCTCTTCGAGGGCGGTGATGCGGAGGACGGAGGTGTGCTGTGATGCTGGAAGGTGGGTCTAGCGCAATCCGTGGGGTTGGCCCTTGTCTAAAAAGTTTCGAGAAAGTAACCAACTCCCAACCCGACCGTTGCCAGTGGCGCATACCCGCGAACATTGTCTGAGGAGCGCAATGACCTGAAGAGACCGACTCTGAGATCCTTCGAACCCTATCCTCACGTAGTATCCGGAATTTTATAGAGGCGGCGCAAAATGGTCAAATCATACAGGTAATGCGCACTTGCAGCGCAACTCGAACAGAGCTCGTACTAACTGTTACATAGCAAGTATGAGCAGTCCGATGCTTTCGGCGTGGTCGCGACTGCCACTTCCAACATTGTATGGACCCCCGAAGGCCTCACGCAGCCCGGTTCGAGTCGAGTCGCAGGCGCCGGACGCGCATACGCCGCCGCCAACGAAGAAGTGCTGTGCTGGGATGTAAAGAAGGGCGAACTTATGAGCAGATGGCGCGACAACACCTGCACCGAAGAAGTCACCGTAATATGCCGGAGCGATATCGACCCGGACGTCTTCGCTGTGGGCTACGCCGACGGAAGCATACGCATATGGGATGCGCGAACGTCGACCGTCATCATCAGCTTCAATGGCCACAAATCCGCAGTCACAGTCTTGGCTTTTGACCAGAGTGGAGTACGGCTGGCGAGTGGTGCCAAAGATACGGACATTGTTGTGTGGGATCTGGTCTCAGAAACCGGCTTGTTCAAGCTGAGAGGGCACAAGGGCCAAATTACTGGCCTGCAGTTCCTCCATCCTGGTAGTGCTCCGCAAGAAGATCTCGTGGAGGACGAAGAGATGGACGTGGATGCAGATCAAGCTTTCCTACTATCGACTAGCAAAGACGCGTTGATCAAGATCTGGGATGTCACGACTCAGCACTGCATCGAGACGCACATTGCACAAACAAACGGAGAATGCTGGGCTCTTGGTGTTTCGCCGGATGGTAGCGGTTGCATAACTGCCGGCAATGACGGAGAACTCAAAGTCTGGGCTATCGACCAGGCAGGGCTTCGAAGAGCGGGCTCAGCAATCGGTGAAGGGTTCGAGCAGGAATACCTTACCTCCAGAGGCATACTTTACCGGACGGGCAAGGACAGGACACAAGGAATCTCCTTTTACGCCAAGGCAGATTACATTGCTGTACATGGCGCAGAGAAGGCCGTTGAGATATGGCGGATAAAAACGCCAGAAGAGGTCCGTAAAGCCTTGATCAGGAAGAGGAAGAGGAGGCGAGAAAAGGCCAAGACCGAAAAAAACGGAGACATGGAAGACGATGCTGATGCTGACGACAAAGTCGATGCTGCGGATGCCGAGATTGGCGAAGTCTTTGTACCCTATGTGACCGTACGAACAGCCGGGAAAGTGAGATCAGTCGCATGGATGCACATCAAAGGAACGAAGAAGCTACAACTACTGGTCGGCACGAACAACAATCTCATCGACGTTTACGAGATACCCCAAAGAAGCAAGACGAAGAGCGAGGAAGCACCCGACTACAGCCGCACACTATCTGTTGAACTCTCTGGCCATCGAAACGATGTACGAGCACTTGCTCTCAGCTCCGATGATCGCATGCTGGCATCCGCGTCAAGTGGAGGACTGAAGATCTGGAATGTCAAGACACAAAACTGCCTGCGCACTCTAGAATGCGGCTATGCACTTTGCTGTGCGTTCTTACCAGGAGACAAGATCGTCGTTGTAGGAACCAAGGATGGCGATATCGAACTGTACGACATAGCGGCATCCACATTGCTGGACAAGATCGACGCACACGAGGGGGCTGTTTGGACTATGCAAGTGCATCCCGACGGAAAGTCACTCGCCACTGGCAGCGCCGACAAGTCCATCAAGTTCTGGAATTTTGACATTGTCCAAGAAGAAATACCGGGAACAAAACGCACAACACCTCGTTTGAAGCTGACCCAGTCGCGCATACTCAAGGTCAACGACGACGTTCTAAGCGTGCAGTTTTCACCCGACTCAAAGTTACTCGCCGTAGCGACGCTCGACAACACCGTGAAAGTATTCTTCGTAGACTCATTGAAGCTCTTCCTCAACCTGTACGGCCACAAGCTGCCTGTACTCAACATGTCAATTTCCAGCGACAGCAAGCTCATCGCGACCTGTTCTGCCGACAAGAACGTCCGCATCTGGGGTCTCGACTTTGGAGATTGCCACAAGGCGCTTTTCGGCCACGAAGACAGCATCATGCAAATATCCTTCATCCCGCACCCCGTCGACAACGACGAACGCCACATCTTCTTCAGCGCCTCCAAAGACCGCACAATCAAGAGCTGGGACGGCGACAAGTTCCAACAAGTTCAAAAATTCAGAGGCCACCACGGCGAAATCTGGGCCATGACCGTCGCGCGCACAGGCGACTTCATCGTCACAGCCAGCCATGACAAGAGCATACGCATCTGGACGCGCTCCGACGAGCCCATCTTCCTCGAAGAAGAGCGCGAACGCGAGCTAGAAGAAATGTACGAAAAGACGCTCGCCACCAACCTCGAAGACGACGAAGACCCCACGGGAACCCGCGCCGAAGCCGTCGACGCCAGCAAACAAACCATCACAACCCTCACCGCCGGCGAACGCATACAAGAAGCACTCGACCTAGGCATCGCGGACCTAGAAGTCGTCCGAGACTGGGAAGCCCAACGCAGAACCAACCCTAAAATCGCGCCGCCACAGCGCAACCCCCTTTTCCTCGCTCTGGGCAACATCTCCGCCGAGCGCCACGTCCTCAACACGCTCTCCAAAATCCCCGCTGCACAACTGCACGACGCCTTACTCGTCCTGCCCTTCTCCTCTCTCCCCGCCCTCTTCACTTTCCTCGCTATCTGGGTGCGCAAACAGTGGAATGTAACACTGACCTGCCGCGTCCTCTTCTTCATGCTCAAAACGCACCAGAAGCAGATTGTGTCCAGTCGCGAACTCAAGACTGTGCTAGAGGGTATGCGCAATGATTTGCGGAGTACGCTCATGGGCAACAAGGATTTGATTGGGTTTAATGTTGCGGCGTTGAGGTTTGTGGGGGAGAGGGTGGATGAGGCCAAGTTGGTGAGGTGGGAGGATGTGGATAGGATGGATGGGGAGGAGAATAGGAAGAAGAGGGGGTTTGTGGATGTTGCTTAGGTTGTTCACCTTATACGAGAAAAGAAACTGGATAGGTTTGCAGACTACGTTGACACAAAACCTTGCAGAGTAGGTGATCTAACGTCAACGTAGGCTCCAGGCTGTTCGGTTTTTCCCTAAGTTGGCGTGGGTTGGTGGGATGGGAGATGGGGGTGCATTTGTGGCGTTTCTAGTTGGGGGTTTGGGCTGTGTTAAAAGTAGTTATACAGGTGTGTTGCGAGAATCCATGTTTTGAACACTTATGCTTGGTATCCTTGTCTGTTTTACAGTGTATGCTGAGAGTGATCAAGGCAAGCGTATGCTTCATCTCAGTCAACATGTCCACTCTCCAAGGTACATACATATCTCTGAACCCACAGATGTTTATACATATCATGATAGTCGTGCATCTCCCATAATTTACACCACCACCACCACCACAACAGCATCCTGCCCACCAGCAGAAAAAGCTCTCCCACAGTCTATCCCATAGCCTTCAAGAAATTAGCCTCCTTAATCCCCGCCCTCCGCTTATTCCTCATCGCCTTTGTCAACTCCTCTCTCGCATCCTGCGCCTTGACTGCGCCCTGCAAACTACCGTCTCCGGCCGGTAAATCAATCGTCTGTTCGTATAGCGGGACTTTGGGGACCAGCATCTCGGGGTTCATGGCTTGTTCCTTGCGGAGGCGTTTTGCGGCTAGACGGCGTTGTTTCTTTGATTTCGCTGGGGGGAGTAGTTAGTAAAACTGTTCTTCTGCTTCTCTATGCTATGATGGACTTTGTGGGGAAGTGTTTAATGGAAAGGAACGTACAGAACAAATCTCCCGCCCCAGCATCCGCCTTCTTCTCCTGCCGATCCAATATCGTCCACAGCCAACTCGGATACTCGTCGTCAGCCAACGCAACAGGATCCTGTCTGTCTTTCAAAAAGTTCAACCCTTTCAGCGGTTGCCCAGCTGGTATACTGCTTTTCACCAGCGGAGCAGCCTTCTTCTTCGCGGCTTCCGCAGCCGTGGCTTTCAAATCCGGACTCGCGGCTGGTGTTAACGGCTCGCTAAACGGCTGAGCCGCAGATGTGGAAGTCGCGGTGGGCGGGTTGTGTGAGGACGAAGAGTCGCCTTGACGGCCCGCGGATTGCGTTGCGGTGCTTGCGGAGATGGGTGTTGCGTTGCGGAGGGGGGATGTGGTGGTGAGGAAGCGCATGGGTTGCGGGCGTGTGGAAGAGGTTATTTGGGCGCGCGAGGCGCTGCGCAGACAGGTTCGACATATCATCTTGGGCGTGTGTGGGGGGCGCTTTCAATTCGGACTTTGGGGTTGTTGCTGGCCAAAAGTTTGAGATGGAATCGGAGGGCTGCCGAGGTGTTTCGCCGGTTCCGGGTCGCGCTAGAGGGCATCCTTGTCTGCCGCCGCCTGCTGTGTGCTTGAGCTCAGGAGGACCATGCTTGGTGCATGAACACCTTCGTGCTTCTTCCTGAACCTTGGAATGGCCTCACATGTGGTGGTTGTCATGGTTGTGGTTATGGTTTTGGCAGGTGCTACGCCCCAGATGGCACCTTCCAGTTTCGTCAGGTCCCATGGACACTGCTGGGCGACAGGGTAGGCGGAAGACATCACAATCAGGCAGGAAGATAGATAAGATGTATGTGTACATTTCAATTTCGAAGCACATTCATCTGAGTAAGACATGAGCACAGTGTGACCACTCCGCCCAGCCAACCCAAACCCATGCATCGTATTCCTCCAACAGCGCCTGCGGCTGACCGCTTCTTCAATAACATCGTACAAGACAAACATGAGAGATCGTTAGGGATAGTGTGGGATTAGTGCCCAAGCCTGACGCTGGCAGTCCGAAACGCCGTGTTGCGTTCCTTCCAAACCAGGCCAGCAAGTAGATAGTAAAACAATGGAAAAACTAGAATTAGACAAATGAGTGGTGGGGATCACAGTCCCTATAAGTATGTACACGGAAACGAGAGCGTAAGACATCGTCTAAGGTATAGGGCTGAGAGCAAAGGAGACCGTCCGGGGGAGCACAGTAAGGAGACTTGATCAAATCCAGGCCATGGGGGCGGGTTGGTGTTTGATGGCGAATCGATGGCTGAATAGTGGGCGGATCTCTGAGAGATAGTCGGCAGCGCAGAAAGCGGCGAGGTTTTTCGAGCGCATAATGGAAATGTCCGCTTCGGTCTCTGCGTCTCGTACTACGCCGCCAAACTCCTCGACTACTTCGTTCAGTTGCTCGAGTTCACGGCCAAAGGGGTGGTTCTCCTCTTCGATCGTGCCCTTGAACATGTCGAGCGACGAGCGCTGTTCGCGCGAGTGGCGTGCAGAACCGACGCTTCCACGGGAGTTCATGCTGCCACGAGTGCTGACGTTTTGAAGCGATCGCTTGTGCGCCAGTCGCTCATGTGCCTTTTTGCTGTGCGAGAGAGCCCTCTGGGGAATAGCAGGCACTGCCTCTACAGTCTCTTCCTTGACTTGCTTGAGACTGGTAGTTGAGGCGGACTTCTTCAGTTGCTTGCCAGAAGATGAAAAGTAGCCGGAAAGGTGGTTTGGCGCGGGCGAGATGGGTGAAGACGCCACAGAAGAGGCATCAGTGAGGGTGGTGTCTCTTGAACCATGCGAAGAAGCCCGGGAGCGTGTTGACACACTGTGGTCCGAGTCGTCCGCCGAAGAGTGGCTGAGGGAAGTTGAAGAGGAGACGTTCCTGAGGGTCGAGATGTCGGGCGCATTGTACGAAAGCATGTTGGTAGTCGACACCAGGGCGATAGGAAGAGAGATCTTGGAACGGTCAAAGTTGTTGTTGGCCATTTTGACACTCTGGCTGCGAGTCGGCGACACCGTGGAGTCTTTCGGCTCTTCTGTCCGCTTAATGCGCCTTGTCATGGCACGAGCGAGAGACATATTGATGGATTAATTCAAAGTAGATGTGCGATATTGCAGATAAGGGTCCAGCAGTCGGTTCTGGGGCCGGTAATTCTGGCGGTGACTGTAGTTGGTCGCTACTTTGGTGCGATGCAGATATGCGGGGTACTGCCTGGGATAGATTGCGCTTGAGGCTGGCACGAGATCCAAACAGTCGCGAGCTAGAGTTGCACTAATGCGTTTGTCGCCGTGTTCTAGAAAGGATCTGGAAAAGATCACGCTGTGCTATCGGTGGTGTATTTGGACGCGTGCCCTTTGCAGTGTAACAGTGCACTGGATGTCGGTGGATGTCGGAGTCGTAATTGTGGTACAAATGCGGCTAGAATGTTGGCTTGAGAGTCCGGCACGGTTGGTTCCAGTGATGCAGTCGAGTCCTTGGGTCCTGAGTTCTTTGTTTGATTTTCGGTTTTCTGATGCTGAGATCGCGGCGTTTAGCGATGGGGTGAAGAATGAATGGTGGATGTGAAGTAAGTTCGTCTGTCAAAGAGCGTAGAGACCAGCTGTGTCGTAAGGAGCGAACACCGGGCCGCGAAATGAGGGAATGATGGCTGCTGTGGAAGGCAACGAGAGCGCGTAAGGCAAAGGAAGGGAGGAAGCCTGAAGAAGAGGGCGGCGCGCGATAGAGCGACTGAATGGGTTGAAAAACCAGCATCCCCGGGGCGGCAGGCTAACCAAGCCGCGTCGACATGTCTCTCGAAGATTGGTAGGAATGACCGGGGGAACGCCAGAACCAAGCAAAAAGCAGCGAATCAGCATGTATTGGTTCCTGGGATACTGAGTTAGTGGCGTCGACACAGCCCGGCTAAGTTTAGTGAGTGATACGTTTTCCATAGCTGGCGAATGGGATCGCTTCGCACAGAGTGCATCTACCGCCCATTCGTCTCAGATTGAGCCGGGACTCGTTGGCCTGTTTCCCAGATCCGCACGCCTTTGGCTGGGGCTGCAAAGGCCCGCTGTTTCAACACTTCCCACAACAGAGGTCTGCTGCCGAGCTGAATTAAGGGCCTTCCCTTTCCTGTCGCGCGGCATTGACATGTGAGATGACGGAGAAATATGCGACGAGTAAGTGCAGTCGGTCGTCGGAGGCACAGCCGTCATTCAGCCCCGACAGCGCATGCGCTGCACGCATAGCATGGCATTATGGATAAGCACCGATGCCTGCGCAAACGGTACCGTGGTTGCGTTGGGGACGGCGTTTCTGTCAACCCCCTCCCAATCCGGTCACATGGCACTCTAGAACCTTATGCAGAAGCGCCCAAAGCAGGCCGCTCACTCGACGCCACGCGTGCCTTGCAGACGCACGAATAGACAGCTGTCTCGCATCCTCCGAGCATGTCAGTGTGCTGGCCATGGGCATCATCAAAGGGGAGATGGTTTTGGCGTTTCCGCCTTGCGCGTCCTTGGTGGTTTCGAAACTGTAAAGCGCCGAGACCGGGTAACCTTGAGGTGACGATCTGGCCGTCATCTCGCGAGATCGCAACCTGAGGCAGCGAGGTCCACTTGGTGTCGATGAGGGTGCCCAGACCCAGGGCTCCAAGTGCGAACGCAGATCAGCCGGCCGCTTGCTGACTGCCCAGTGCTGGGAGTTCGCCCGCTCGTTCCTACTTTGCTTTGTCACGCTCATGCGATGGCAGAGAAAACGAATCTGAGTTCATCGTTTATCGTTTATTGATTCTGGTTGCTCGTGGTGATGGTGATGTCATTACAATAGTCCACTATGAATCAGGCTGCGCCATGGTGAGGCTACTCGATTCAGATGAGATGAAAGGAGCTAAAAAGTAAGGGCGAGCTGGTTCGGACAATTTTCGAAACGTGTGCGGGACCTGACTCGCGATTGCGACCCGCGAAACATGGCCTCGAGTGTTGCGGGGACAAGCTTCACGGATGGCTTGATTGTGCAGGATATAGAACACCGCACACATAGCATATATCTTGGTACATTCGCGACGCTCTTTAGGTCCTATATGCCCAGGGTATCATCGTCTAGTCCTCCTCCATCGACTCCCAACCCTTCTCGTCACCGTTTTCGGCACCCTCCTCATCGCTCTCGCCCTCCTCGGTATCAGAGTCTGTGTCCTGTTCCTCCAGACCCACGA